ACCTGCAGCATCCGGCATCAGTTGGAACTATCAGTGTCACATAACAGCCAACAACCACAGCCGGTGCACCAGCAGTAGCACTCACGAGCATGGTGCTGGATCCGTAGAGGACATAACCTGCAGCGAGTTGTTCTTTGCCAGGCTGCAAGAAGTCTCTTCTCTCCACCGGCTGGCCGACTGGAGAAACACGCTGGAATATAGAGAAAATAGTCCCGACGGAGACATTGACGTCGATGTTCGACGAGCCTAGAGACAAACAGCAGAGGCAGGCTCTTGCAGTGCTTCCGTTTTATGCTCAAGAGCGTCTGGCTCTTCTAAACCAAAACTAAAACAACCGACATGAAGTGTTTACTTCGGGAGGAGCGGGTGCAAGTAGAAAGCGACTAAAACACATAATTATCACTCATACAGGCACTGTCAGCGAAAAATACCAGCAGCAACTGTAGCTGCATCGGGAGCACCACAATGGCATCAGCATGAAGAAAATCAACTCCATTATCGCTGGTCGCGGCACAACCAGGAGCAGCGATAGGAGCCGCAGCAACAGCAAAAGCGCAAACAAGCGCAGACACCACAGCGTCAGTAACAGTAAAGATGCACCATCTAGCGGGTCCATCAGCAGCACGAGGTGGCAGTTGGGATTGACGGGAATAAAGTCATCGTCTTCCTCTGTGCATATGCCACAGACCACTTCCCTGTTGACCAACGCCTGAAGGCAACCAAACGCCTAAACACACGCCTTCGTTTGTAAATCCACAGCTTTGAACCTACGTTTTAGGTTCCTCGAAATAGGGCGAATTTCAGAAGCCCCAAGTTTTCTCAACTAGTATACATCCTAAAGCCCCCACATGTGATGCAAAATATTGACCTGATCCTCTCTAATCCTACGCCGAAACTATCCAAATCCTACAACAAGTTGTTCAAGTTCAGTTGCTTTGTCTGACTTGAATGAATTTCTTGTTCGCGAAGACATCGAGCTTTTGCTGATCCTCTCCCTGCACGTTCTGGTTCCCCGCAGCCCCCAAGATGTCCACCAGGCCGGCCATATTAATTTCCCTGTTAACAACTTTGGCCGCTAGCTTGATGGCAGTTAGCAACCTGAACACACGAACACATACACACACAAACTCGTTGCAAATACGCAATACACCCCGTCAGGCCTCAACACCAAGCAATAAACGGGAAAGAACTGTACTTGAAACATGCAATACACTGGATCTAAATTCATCCAACTGAAGCCTAGGCTTTGATCTGGAAGCGGCAGCGCCTTCCTTTGGGCTTCTGGGACAATTTAAGACCACTAGCAAAGCGTCACATACTACTGATACTCCAGAAGAATGCTGCTTCGGACCGAAACACAACTTTCACTCTGCAAAGGTGTGTGCGTTCAATGGGGAGAATCAAGTGTGTTTATGTAGTATGCGCTCATGCCGCAGCAAATCGCTGTGAAGTTCTGTTAGCTGCATTCATGGTCTTGGGTTTGGCGGACGCGACTTTGATATAAATGCGATGTGACTTTGGTATGGGTTTCTTACTTATTCATTTCTGCCTCCGAGCCCTTTTTCTTGAGTTTGTCTTTGTTTGCAATAATAAATTCCCCAAGTTCGGGGATAGGCGCAGAGGATTGCGGCATTTTGACGTCTACCTTTTGTGCTATATATTTAGGGTGTAGTATTTAAGGATCACGACTCGAGAGAATGTCATTTCCCAATCATAAAACACTATGACAAAAAGGCTTTTGTGGGACTGCAAAAGCGAGAATTTGGGGCTGCCTCGCCGCCAGCGAGCACCGGAGAGCTGTGCTCGTCCACCACTATTTTTTGTCTTTCAAATGCTGGGCTTACTGCATCTTTTTGTTTATCATTGACGCAGTTGTTTAAGTTGGAGGTCTAAGATGAACACATTTACGGTCCTTTCAGGGTCGCTTTGGCCATCAGCTCCCTAGCAACTGGAATAATGGCGAGGCACCCAGGCACCTGCACAACGAACGCGCAACCTGCGCAGGACAAAATTAGGCGGTACGAACAGAACTACGAGCAAAGCCCAGGTCTGAGAGCTATTTAGAGCTTTTAGCTCTCGAAACAATGCATTTTTTGCCTCTAACCATGGAATTGAGCGGGATATGTTTGTCGCTTTGAAGTAGGCGTAAGTTAGCTGGTTGTTGTGAGAGGGCACACGTAACAGTTAAGCAAGACTCAACGCACTACAAGTAATGGCAGCTACACAATATTCTTAAGGTGCCAAGTCCGCGGCTCCGGGCATTGGAGTCCCTAAGAGCTCGAAGCGCGTGGCCGGGTTCAGCTCATAGTGCGGCTAGGGAAGTGCAGACTTTCAACTGCAGGTTTACCGCCAGCCGTCTAAATGCGTTAAAAACAAAGCACTATTACCGGTGGCAAGCAGCGTTTTGGAGGAAAATGTATAACCTACAACCTGCTGAGGGACTAGCATCGTTAAAGAGATGGGGAAGAAGCCAATGAAATGAAAGGTACCTCCCCTAACAACTGCAGAATACAAGATTCCCCTGGCAGGAAGCCAGTTCTGTTACAAGATTGTTCCCGTAATTCCCAAAATTGGCAACACCATCAAGTTGCCCCTACAACTGGCGCAGATGAGGTGCATGGGAAATGGAATACTCTGCAAATGAAGAATGAAGATACCGTGGCATTAAAGAGGACCATCTCTGGAACCTGAGTCCTAATTCAACAGAACTGAACCTAACATGAAGGACTAGGGCGAGTTTATAACCGAAGTGACGACCCTGCTCCATGTTATGCCATAGTTAAATTAAATAGGCAGGTAATTCTGTACAGCACGCTGCAGAATTTAACAAATCAAGCAAAGACCTCTATGAAAATTCAAGCGCACAACTGGTAGAGCGCTTCGATGATGACTTGCCTGACGTCGCAGCCTCCGCTCTGATGACGGACAGCCGTCAGAAAATATACCACTCGGAAAGTGGTGGCAGCTGCCCCGTAATACGCTGTGGCGACACCCCGCAGAGCACTTGGTAGAATACGACATGATAGGCTGGTCATCCAAGATGTGCGGTGGCGACGCTGAAGCACCACTGTGCTGGTCACAATCCAAAACGGGCTACGGAACTCGTAGTGGTGGGGGCCGAACTAGAGCCCCTCAAGCAGCAGCAAGACACTGCAAGCGGGAATGTACTCAGAAAGCGTGGTGGAGTGGAGTACTGTTCCTTCGAGCAAATCGAGACGGTTCTCAAAGCCAGCCAAGATAGAAATAAAACAGCATCCGAACTTGCAGGCCTGAAATAGAGCAACGAGGCACGTGCTCAGCGAAAAAGGTTCGGTGCAGCCGTGAAAGGTGCAGTCACAACAGGCTTTAATACCTAAAATTCTTCCCCCTATCAGTGGGTGCGCTTCTTCTCATTAGAAACTGCAGAGCTGAAGTGTTTATCAGTATCCTTTTGTGTTAAACAGCATTTTCTTCAGCAAAATGGCCCTTGAGAGAAAATTGAGTGGAAGAGACGAGTGTGAACGTGAAAATATGGATACACGCAAAACTAGCAATACTTCAAAGTAAACAAGCAGGCAAGATCCCTGCTCGTTGTCCTTTGTCTCAACTGTATGGGCGCTTTTTCTGCCTCAGTGGCATTTAATGCCAATCCCGTACAGTGTCCGTGGCTTTTACTTGTTGGATCAAACGTTTAGAAGAACAAAGACGCAAACAAGACGAAATCATGTATCATTGGGGATGAACTGTTTCTTTTCTTTAGTGATGAAAGTCAGTATCTCAATCGCTGATGGCGCTCTTTTGACAAAGTAACCTTAAGAACAGGCCGTATTGTTTCACGGTGCGAGTGCTACGGGCTACGTTTGCAATGTTTGGCGTGGGATCCTGAGAAGTTATTTTGTTTTGAACACCATTTCAGGCCACTAGGAGGTTCTGAGCTAACTTGTACTTCGCGCCACGCACGACCATATCCATTCATCTTTAAAAGCAATATGGGCAGTTAGTTGCGCGATTTTGTCTCTGGCGGGCGCACACAAGCATGCAAAGACTAAAAGAAGCAGAGCCACGCATAAGAATAAAATGACAAACATATAGCTAAGGTTCAGTCCAAGCCCGAAAGTCGACAGACAAGCAGACAGATACACCGAAGCATAGGTGAGAAAACATGCACGGATAGAAAACAAAGGGGGGAAGGAAAAGCACTTGAAGGTTGATGGGATGCCAACGTGCATTATTCCCTTGAGTCGTTTGTCTAGCTCCACCATCGCTGGTTCTTCTCTACTACAAAGACAAATGCCACGGCACACCTCATGCCCCGCTCTACTTCCTCCGGTGCTGACAGTTGCTTTAGGCCCCATCATCCTAGCCACTCTAGAGTTCGAGCACTCCAGCGTATACGATATAGTCGCCCCAGAACACGAACACCAGGTTGGCGAAGGAGTAGTGCTACAGAGCAGGAAACACTGGTTCGAGAACCATATCCTCTTGCTGGAGCTGCGGTTTCAGAGTCAGATGCCCCTTAAGCATTCTCGGCTTGGAGATATTGTCTATATCTGTGACGGAGCCGCAGGACTTCTGAGAGCAAATAGCTTATTAGCGAGGGAAGTTCTGTTGACTAGCTCGGCTCTAGCAGCTCAACTCTGAGGGATGTTCTAGTCCCTGTAGCTGCACTCTTTTCGATATGGCTCACTTAAAAAATAAGCAGCTACATCGGCTTTAATTTACTGACCGCTCACTAAGTCGTACAAATCCCGCTTGTGATAGTCACCCCACTGTGGCAGGTTCTGGCTGATCTAGACTGTGACATTGCGCTCTTGTGGCCCATTTCAACGTTGTGGCCCCCAAAAAATAGATGCTTACTAAGCAAAGCTCACCAGTCACAAAAAATCGTGAGTGCTGTGAATTAGGCCTTCTTGCCGACGTCGAGCACTGTATCGGCTGCGGACCGGCCCCAAGGTTCTGAGACACATAATCAACCTAGCCTTCCAAAATTGAGGCGAATTGACAGCAACCATCACATTCCAATGATACATTTCCTCGACTCCTTTTTGAAATCACTTTTTAATTTTGGCTCGGTGAACATGAAATATTTCGCCATTACTTTTGTGGCCCTCTCGGTGTTGTGTGTCCGCCGCGGTGAGCACGCAGAGAGCGGTTCTGCAGCAGACAAGGCTGGTAAGCGTTGACCTGCACCTGAATCGAAACTAAACTATAGAAATGTTCTTCCATATTTATTTTTGTCTCGTTAGTTTGCCCTGCAGACCGCGTCAGCTGCCTTAATGAGTTCAACGACGTGCGAGTACACGCTGGCCTTGACCCTTTTACTACGGAGACAGATGAGCAAAAGAAATTGCCCCTCACCAACTCCGAGTATATCAAAACGGTTTGTAGCACTATGAGGGAGGTAAGGTGAAATCTTTTCTTATCTGCATATTCGTATTCGTGTTCGTACTTCCTCCTGAGTCCGTCGCGTCACTGTCCTGTCCGTGTGAATCTGTTCTTGTAATGCGCCAGGGACGAACATTCACTCCCGAGGACGTTGTCTATAGAAGAGAGGGCACGTATGCTTACTCTAGCCAGAGTGGGGAGTCTGGCGACTGCTCTATTGCCGTTAAGTACTGGAGTGGGGCGTGGGTAAACTTCGGCGATCTTCCAGCCATGTACACCAGCGATAAAGGAGGGATCTACGCAAGATCTCGCAACAGGTCATTTGTGGTGCTTTTCAATCCTAATGAGGGAGCGACCATGGACTGTGCTTTCTTTGTCTGCCCTCCACCCACATCAACTACGACTCCTACCCCGGCACAGATGGGGAGCACGGATCGTACTTTCGAAAGCTCAGTTCGGCAGGACAAGCGCCACAAGCAAAAGGGAAGAAGGCCGAAAACTCTGAATTCATCATAGGCGCGAAAACACCAAAAACAGCGGCTGGTCAAGCAGGCCAACCCTCAAAAGAACCAGCTAGAGAAGACATTGAGCACCAGCGCGAATCGGAAGAGACCGATGAAGAGCTTAATCCTGTTCAGCCCTCAGGCGTCTTGGGGAGACGTTTGTCAACAGAATCTGGAGATACTCTTAAGGCCCTTGTCTGTTTGACTCATCCAGCTGCTCTCGTCGCGGGCAAGCGACCCTTCTCGTAGGACATCTCCACATTGCTGTCTTTGCTTGTGCTTGCCTTCTCTGTGTTCATTTGCTTAAACTTTCGTGGGTATTTTCATAGTTTTTTATTTTTTCCGCATGTTACGCACTTGCTCATCTGATCACTTATGAATATATTTTTGCCTTACTGTTCTCCGTTTGTTGTTCCCCTTTCCATTACATTTTAATCCAAACCCTATGCCTGCTCCCCCATAGCGCTTTGAGAGTTGTCACTTAGGTCCAGCTGCACGCCGGCCTGTGTTTTTTCTTATGCCTGGCCTTAGCGTGCTCCCTTGCCTCTTTCCATTTGTTGCGTTGGACCAGCAGCGTACGGGTCGTTTGCTATGCCTGTAACCATTTTCACCGCCTCTACCGGGTGCTCCCTGCTAGTTCCACTTTCCTGTGCCTCTCTATTTGCCTGATATTTTTTGCTTGTTTTGCACTTGGTTTCATTTTTTTGTTTGAGGTTTTCGTGAACCTTGGTGTTGCTCTTATATTCAATTGTTTGATAGTCTTTTGCAGTTCTTCGCATCCACCTAACTTGTGCCTTTTCATTTTTTGCGCTGTTCTGTCTGTCGTTCAATTTCTTTTCTTTCCAAGCACTGATATTAGTTTTGTATATCAATATACTCTCTGCTGCCTTTTGCTGTTCTCCATGACCCAAAAGCATGCTATTGGGGGACCAGTCTCTTTGCTGTTTGACGTTTGCGAACAGAGACAAAACTTGGGATCTTATACAGAAGAGTTTCCAGAGCTCGGCTTCCGTTTCTGCCCTTTCCGTCTTCCTTGCCTCGACATCTTTTCTGGGGCTTTTTGTGCCTATTTAGGTATTGTCGTTGCATGCCCTCTGGCCACTCAGGTAAATTATAACTGTGTAGTTATATGGATGTGCAAAGAGAAGAATCCGTGAAGTGGTTCTCAGCAGCTGCTTTGCATTTTCCACCCTTAAGGCAAAAAACACCGTAGAACTATGCTCCTTACACTCAACTGATGCATGGACCTTTGCTGCCCAGTTAATCACTTATGTGGTACGACACAGGAGCGTACGCATCGCTGGGCTTTTCTTGTTTCGCGAGTGCCCAATATCATCAGTGGCAGTAGCGTCAGCAGCCCGAGGGGTCTGCTTTAAACAAGCTAGCCAACTTGCCTTCAGCAGTAGGGGAAAAAAGCAATTTGCTTGCTGCCCTGTCTTCCGATTGGAGTTCCAGGTCCAGTGTGCTGCCAATGAAGCAGTGCAAGCGGTAGACTGCTATGCTGCTGCCACTGTCCCCCTCAACTCTTGCTGTAAAATTTTCTTAAACTTTTTAATTGAGTAAAATTTCGTACGACCCTTTTTCCTTTTAAGTAAGGCTCTCAGCTTGGTAAAATTTTCCTCCAATCCTATGCCATCCGCCTTCTCACCGTTATAATGCGGCTGATTTTGAGACAATCAAGACAACTGTGGCGAATTTGCATCCGTGGATTTATCCCATTCTTCTTTTTATTCGAGGTTTGGGGGAACAGGCACACACCGGGCCCCGCACGTGAGTTCCGAAAAAAAGCAATGGAGGAATGTGAAAAATTACAAAAAGAGAGGTCTGACTAGTGCCGTCTTGCAGGACCCTAGTTGCAAATGATGGGTTGGCAGATTAGATCAACCTGGTTTAAGAAAACGGAATGAATGATGGCCGTTCAGTGCGAGCGGAACTTTGGAGAGCAGTTGTACGCGGCATTGCCGTCCAGATGGATGTGCAGAATGGCTTTGAAAACAAACGAGTCAGCGTAGCTCAAACCGATGGCACTGCCACTGCCGCTTACTAACGGGCTAATTACCACAGCGCTCAGTCGATGGCGCTTTAGCAATTGTTTGCCCAGCACGGTGGACTTTACTGCCACCTTCCCGGACTATCTCATCCTTTCAAGTCAAGCTTCACATTGACGAAACTCAAGCGCTCGCACACTTCAAGAGCACCATAATTTTCACGATCGAAGCCTCGGACCCGTTTATCAAACTTGCTGTAGGCCGCCACAATGGCAGCGCACGCTCGTAATACAGGATTCAGGAACAAGCTACAGTGCCTCTAGAAGACTTAATAGTGTGCTGAAGGCAGGCGCACAAAACGGCATATGGGGATGGCCTGTGGAAACCAAGAAATTTCAAACCTATCATAACTTATCTCTGACTGACTAAAAAGTGATTTTACCATGTTCTTGCTGTGCTACAGGGTTCTTGGCAGCTCCAGGTCCCTATTAGTACCTCAAATGCCCCTTTATCTTTTGGAGAGCATGCAAAAGGCTAGTCGTTTTTCGGCTGCCCCCGCATTTATTATTCGGAGCTGTGTTCAAATTGAGAAATAAGAGCATTGTCCATTAATTCACCAGTGAGGGCAAACGTCATATCGCGTGCGCTGTTCTGTCTCAAGTGGAGAGAGAGCCAGAAAGGGAATTTCGTCTGGCCCTTGAGGAGCCTCTATGTCGAGAACAAGAGAAGTTTGTTTCCCTTCCCCATTTGGCAAATGCACTTGTTAACAGGTTAGGAGTATCGTATCAGCCCATATAATCAAATGCAGGCTAGACCTCAATTACAAAGCAGAAATGTTGGTATACGCGCTCTGTGCCTCCTTCCTTTGTTGCCGCACCGAGAAACCCATTGCCCATCCTGCAGACCTTCCGGGCGGCCAACACTGCTGGGCAGTCGTGAAGTGAAGAGCATTAAGAAGTGAAGTGTGTCCGCAGCTGCACAGTGGAAAGTAAACAAGTTGGTGACGGTTGTGCCAATTTCGTGGAGGCGCGCTTAAACGGAGAGAGGCTCTCGGAATGTGACCAACCGCCCACTGCGTGTTTGACTGTCATTTGCATTGAAGAAGATCGTGAGCCTTCAGCTAGATAATCTAAATGGAGATGAAGAAAACGAGAGTAAAAATGAATGAAGTGAGGAGGAGAGAAAGGGCGGACACCGAAGCAGAATTCTGCAAACTGTCCTCGATGTCGTCCCATTCATCCTTGCTGCTCGCACACAGCAAACGACAGAGAAATCGAATCCCACATTGTGCTCTTCCAGAATTTGCAGCGATGGCAAGCTACAACTTAATGCATTCAGTCACAAGCCAAGGAAGAAACAAAGGCTAGAGACCGAATGCGTTTCAACAACTGGATTGGAGCTGATGAAATGATTGTAACATCAGACACCGAGCAGTACACGCAAGTAGACAAGCGCTTGTAAAAGAATACTTCAAGCATTGCTGCCGACGTCAGGAACAAACAATCACTAAAAGAAGTGCGGCTGTTTCCTAAACAACGCGAATACGACGAAGTATACTGAAAGTGCAGCTTAGAGAGGCAACGCCAGAAATCAGATGAAAGCACGGGAAAAAAGTGAACACAGCCGTAGTAGGTGAGTAGTAGCGAGCACTAGACGGAGAAGACAACGAATGCCTCTGCTCAGAAGCTTTTAAAACAATTGAGTATACTAAGATTTACAAAAAATCAGACAGCTCAAAAGTCATACTTCAGGCGCCTGAGCACCATAATCGGAGTAGGCCGGAAACGAAGCAATTGATAAGCTTTCAGGCGAACTGGGGGCAATGAAAACAGGTGAAAAGACAGGAAAGAGCAAAAGATGAGGGCTTCTTACGTAAAAGGCATTTGTCCCAAAACCAGGGCTGGCGGATTCGTAAGGCACACAAGGCCTCTTACGAACTGTGTGGAAGTTGAGAGGCGTCTAGGTGGCTGCGTTTGGGCTGAATCAGGCGCTTCATCCTTCTGCTCTTTCTGCAGCTGCCTGCTGCCTGTTTCTTCGGATACAGGAAAGGCAAAAGGGACTGCCTCGTCCTCCTCAGACTGTCCCTCTAGATCTGCTGGTGTGTGGTGTTCATTTTCTTGTGATCGGCCAGATACCCGTCCGTTGCCGTTGCCGTTTCCTCCATTGCCGTTTCCTCCATTGCCGCCTGCTCCATTGCCGCCTGATCCGCCGCCGCCTCCTCCGCCGTTACTTGAGCCTCCGCCTCCATTTGGTGTTTCTTCAGTAGAGATGGGACAAGAGAAGTAGGCACAGTCGATTGTGGCGCTCTTCTTCGGATTGAAAAGAGCCACGAAGGACCTGTTACGAACATCAGCGTATAGTCCGGTGGTGTCATTTGTGTAAACAGGAGGAGGGTCGTCTCCGAAATTCACATATGCTTCTGCCCAGTGACGGACTGCAGCCGTGCAGTTTCCCGTAGTTCCCTCTTGTGGTGCGTAGGCGTAGGTGCCGTCTCTTGCGTAACTTCCACCGTTGTGGGCGACTTCTCCCCTCTAAGAAAAAAATGACACTAAGAACAGAACGAACTGTACATTTAGCACATGAAAAAAGGAGCCGACTAACAATTCATGAAGGTGGAGATGGCTGTCTCCATCCCCAGGTTGCGCTGTTTTTCTGCGTCGTTGAACTATTGTTCAGGGTACCAGTAAAAACAAATGAACTTTCCTTTTGAATTTGGCTGCAAACTGCCTCTTTGTATCCCTGTACTTCGATGGGCAGTTTCTTTCCGGCCGTTTGCTCTGCGCTGAAGGGATCAAGGTCCGCTTTGGCCCTCGCGGCATTAAGCTCTATGAGACAGTTAATCGTGTCTGCACGCACACTCAAAATCACAGGAGCTAAATTTTGAAGATTGAAACCCAAACTTTAGGCTGATATGCAGACTTACCAGCGTTTGCTTGTGCCGGTTGTGCAGCGTCGGCGCCGCGCCGTGGCACGAGTAACAGGGCAGACAGTATGGTTGAACTGACGAGCTTCATAGTGTCACACC